ATTATCCTCTTAGCACACTGTATGGCGTATGACCGTCTTCATTAGCCCAGTTCGGAACAGAACAGTAGGACGTTAAACTCCATTTTATTGGTTACCCCCCCCCCCTCCCCCACACCCACACTTTCCGATTAGCATATAAGAAATGTGTAATTCCTGTGTCCTCCCCACACCAAAATTATGTACGCGTCACTAAAAACTAAAATTCTATAGTTACATATGTAATGGGTTGGGACTTTGCCAAGGCAGTGGTAACGTATTTCAGAGAACTGAAACTAGTATGGTTGCAACGTCTCTCTGTGAGCAGTGGCAACCGGACTTGAAAAATCTCGAAGATTCTTCTCGGCGTACATTCGGAATCTAACTCTCAGCGCTGTAGTGACGATTCCTAGGTCGCCTGACCGCTTGGTGTATACGTAATGGAAGACAGTGTCGGTAGAATATAACCACCGCAGCAGTGTAACCGCCCATTTACCCAAGCGTATGCTAAACGCGTCTGGTACATATCGGTTTTACTTCAAAATAAATTTGTGTTAGCCGAGAATGTTGGTCAGGATCTGTCAGCCTGGTTTCCTATAGTCGCTCGGATGGGACAAAAAAATGGAGTTCGCGTGTATAATTGACAGTAACTTAAAGAACCCGTAACAGTTGAAAATCGAAATAGACCCCACAGCCCACTACATAGCTACGGGAGGGAGGGGGGGGGGGCGACGACTGATCTAACGTGCGCGCGTTTGTTCATAAGGTCTGTCATTGAGTAAAGTGGCGTGGTTTCGATTCCCCGCTTGTACGTAACAAGGAGTAGGGTTTCTTGGCCGGGTACACCGGTTTCCTCCCCACAGCGCGCGCTGCATCATACGGTCCGTCATTGAGTCAACTGGCGGGGTTTCGATTCCCAGGTTGTACGTGACAAGGAGTAGGGTCGCCTGTCCAACCTCGTGGGTTTTCTCCGGGTCCTCCGGTTTACTCCCACAGCTAAAGACCCCTACGCGCAAGCGAATTATGGAAATAAAATTGAACCATATGTTAGTCCCGAAATGACCTAGTTTGTGTCTAGTGGACGTTAAACCCCATTTCTCTCTCTCTCTCTGTTTCTTTTAGATTATTCATTTGCATGAATCCTGACTCATTTATCTTTATGAATAAAAAAGGGAAAACGTTTTAGATACATCTATATTGCATTAAAATATACATCATCAACAAAAGTATGATAATAATGATAATAATATGATACGCTGTAATTTAAAGCGATAATTGCATTTTTTAAGTCATATATATTTGTTTAAAACATGTTAAAATAAAACCTTAAAATACATGGCAGCCCTACCTTGTTAAAGGATAATCCTAAATCCCATGATTCACTTGTGTCGGTCGAGAAATTGGCAAATATATCATTTTTTTTTAAATCCAACGTTGCTTTTTAAGGTGGCATTATCGAGTGTGCAGGTTTGAAAAATCTCACTCACCAGGCATCATTATCCTTATCTGTTTAACCAAGGACTTTGACAATCGAATCGAGACAACTCCCTCTTCCATGATACAATTTCCAAATACTGTTTAACGTCCACTTGACACTCGATTCCCCGGTTGTACGTGACAAAGTGTAGGATCGCCTGTCAAACCTCGTTGGTTTTCTCCGGGTCCCCCCGGTTTCCATTCACTGCTAAAGACCCCTACGCGTAAGCGAATTATTGAAATAAAAATTGAAACATATGTTAGTCCCGAAATGATCTAGTTTGTGTCGAGAAGACGTTAAACCCCATTCTCTCTCCGTGTAACAATATTATGGCCTCGACCTTATATTGGTTCCAAATTCATAAACAAATTATATTAGATAGGACATCACGTAATACAAAGGAAATATATGATATTGTGATGTATTAAAATGACCCACAGGTTAACAAAATACAGAGACTGGTCATTTGGTTATCAAAAACACGTCATCTATCCTGTCATGTTCACGACGATGTCATAAGGGTGAGCGTGGAAATATGCGGTCTGTCAAATTCAATATAAACAGTTGACATTTGGATAATGAATTCCAATAGCTGATTTCAGAGTCGCATTTCCGTCTTCATTAGGCTAGTCGATGCAGAAAAGTAGGACGTTAAATCCTATTTCATTCAGAGTTGCATTAAAGATTGTCCAAATCCCAACGCCCCTAATCTTACTGAACGCAGTAGGCCTACATGCTGGTGTGGGGACTGAAAATGTTTAACGTTCTGTTTTAGAATCACCCGGGCAAATGAAGACAGGAATATGCCATGCAGTGTGCTTTAGGGGACAACGGGCAACGTAGATGTCGTCCACTGTTCGTTGAATTTCAGTTGTCAAGGGTGCACCGCAACATATACGCGGAACCTCGATTTTTTGCCCCATCCGAATAACTAGATTTTTAAACTAGCCAAAGACGTCTGTTATAGTGGACCAATTGTCAAAGGCTTTTTAATGTACGCGAGACTTCTATTTTTTGGTCCCATCCGTACAACTATATTTGTAAACTGTCCCAAGGCGTACGTTAGTGGACCAATTGTCCAGGGTGCTTTATGTGCATGCCAACATGTAGCCTACGCAGGACCTCGATCTTTTTGTCCCATCCGAACAACTGTCCCAGGGGTTCAGCGAGTGGAAAAACGCTTGGAGCCACTGCTGTCTTGTCAGCAATCAAAAGTTAAATTATCCCAAGGTCGTCAGATTCGAGAATAACCTTTTTTTGCTTTCTGCACTTAAAATATCGCCTGAGGATATCTGTACCCGCGATATATTTTAGATATTTTGATTGGGTAGAGTTTCGTGCTTCCTTGATCAACATTTTGGTAAGGTCCAAACTCCAAATTCCAAGGCCATAAATAGACTCGATGATTCATCGTCACATATTGATGGCACCCCGAATTTAAAGAGACAACCGACCATACTTATTATGTTTTTTTTTTTTTAAAAAATTAGAGAAGTATTAAAAACTACAGAATTTAATTAGCCGGCCTGTAGATTAATCTTATTAAAATTAAAACCAACATTTCGTTCCGTTATGTTTTTGGGTGGTTTTTTTGATTTCAACTTAGTCAAAAGAGAGGGGTCTTTAGCTGTGGGACAAAAACCCACGAGGCTTATGACGTACAAGTTTGGAATTGAAACCACGCCATTTTCTTTATGGGCGGATTCTTCACAGTTTGGTCGGCTCGCGAGAAATTCACCGAAATCTTTTAAACGGCTTTGATTATCAAATCAGTAGCCACGGTAGCTCAGGAAGTAAGACGCTGTCTCGCAAACCTGGAAGTCGTGGGTTCGCGCCCGGTGTTGGCCGAGAAAGTTGATCGGGTTTTCCGGCGTGGTTTTCCCTTGTCACTAATATGTTGGACCTAGAAAATGACACAAATGGGTTGGAACGCATATAATAATGTAATATGAATGTATATAAACTGATTTACATTCAATCGTTTCCGTTTTTGCTGTATTTCAAATCAGTTATGTTTGGCGAAATACGCGAGAAGTCTCAATCGAATTGCAATCTCTAGCGTCTGGTTAGTCCAGTCTATTCCGGTAGTATCTATTGCGCATGCTCTCTAGATAGGAATATGTCGTCACACATTGACATTGACTTGTGGGATATGTCTAGCCTCGTTCTTCGAGGCCCTTGTTACAAATGGCGGTGAAACGCATTCTGGTACACAAGGTAAAATTGCTTATTTTGTCTTAAATATTGGATTTCAGAAGCCCACCTTTCCAGTAAGATTTCGGTATCAATGTTGATGACACTGAGTTAAAGATTTAGCTACTTTAAGTAACCTGACGTCATTCAATAAAAACACGCTCACCATTTTTTCCGATTAAATTCACAGAAAATGAAGAAAGTTGTATTACTTTAATAAACTAATTCTCCGTGCGATTTGTATATCTGATGAAGAGATTATAGAATTTCTTCCGCCCATCTTATCATATTTTTATGTATATTGAATTACATTAGAGTTGAAACAAGTGCTTTCAGTACAGGGTTCACACTGGCTTTCAGTTTTATTCCCGTCAAAATGGATAATAATTTTTATATCAAAAAAATGTTCATATGTTTTTTTCACGCCAACTGGAATATTTTATCTGCTAAAAATGTGTGACCATTATTGAACAGATTTTACTTTTAGAAATATAAATGTGACAATATGGTCGTTTCCAAGAATTGACTATCCTCCAAATCACAACCAGAGGTTTTAAATATGGGCTTTTATATGAATCAAGGGAATTGAAATTCGAGTATATTTTGGATATTGGAGTCTAAGTGGCACAGCGAGTAAAGCGCTGACTCGTTAACCTGGGGACCCAGGGTTTAATCCCGGTTGATGGCGTACTATCTTCTTTGATTGGCATTTAGTAATTGAACATATTAACACAAGGTACAGTTTTATGGATACACAATTACTGAGTTTAATACTAAGCTACCTTTCAACGAGGATACTCTCGTCTTTATCAAGACAGTAATTGTGTATCCATAAAATTCTACCTTGTATTTAATCCCGGTGTTCCTAGGATTTTCCAGCGTTAGTTTCCCCTTGTCAGTGATGCAGGACGGAGGGTGTGGCAAGGACAGCTGTCTAGTGTCTAATCGTTCAGATGGGACAATAACCCGAGGTCCCTTGTACACGAAAGAGAGAAAGAGAAATGGGGTTTAACGTCCACTCGACACAAACTAGGTCATTTCGTGACTAACATATGGTTTAATTTTATTTCAATAATTCGCTTGCGCGTAGGGGTCTTTAGCAGTGGGAGGAAACCGGAGGACCCGGAGAAAACCCACGAGGTTGGACAGTCGACCCTACTCCTTGTCACGCACAACCGGGGATTCGAAACCACGCCAGTCGACACACATCCTCGGTTACCCAGTGTACTCATTCCGTTCTACTCCACTATACCCTGGGTTAATCTATGGGGGAGACACGTTTTCAAGTTATCCACCCTTGATGACCAAACCCATCAATTGTTATTTGAAAAGGAAGTTGGCAAAGGTAAGTAACTCTCACCGGACAATGTTAGGAGTTGGCCTATTCAAAATGCGTAATTATTAACAACCAATTATATATTATGTTAATGAAGATCAGACGTTCATATAATAATGTAGGGTCATTAGTTTTATTTAGAATCGTTCGTTCGTTCGTTCCCGGAATTTTATGTCTACGTGATATTGTAGACATTTTATAGTGAACCAAATTGCCAAGTATCAGTTCAATAATAATAAACATAACAGAATGACATATTTCAGACAAAGAACGAATAGTAATAATAATAACAAAAGTCAAACATATAGATGTTATACATATTTGAAATCAACAAGACATACTACAGATTCTGAAAATACAATTAAATATAAATAAATTATAAATATATACATTATTTACATAAATCATTCAGTAAATGGACATGAATATGGTTATCTACCCTTATAAAAACGAAGGCGAAACGATTGGTTTGTAAACTGTTTTCTGATTGGTTCGTAGACTGTAGCTACATTCTAGGCCAGGGCAGATAATTTGAAACCGTGGAAACCCTATGGATTAACCCAGGGTATAGTGGAGTAGAACGGAATGCGTACACTGGGTAACCGAGGATGGTCGACTCAATGACAGACTATGATACAGCGCGCGCACGCTAACCATTCAGCCATCCAACCCCCCACACGTAAAAGAACCCTTGACAGTAGCGCCTTTGGGAACATTTCTCTCAAAATACACTGACGTTACAATAGGATAAAACACTGAGCTCTACACGTGTACACATAATTGTGCACGTTAAAGAACCATTGCCCGTAATAAGAGTAGGCGGGTAAGTGAGCAAGTAATTAATAAATGTCATCCATCTTTTTGGGGATTTAGGCCATGGTTGACATGCGTATGTTGTTTATTTCAATATTTATTGTTTATTTCTGTATTTTTCAGTTTCAAGACATTGCTCTCACCGACATGCCACTGGTTGTTTTCATCTTGATCTACACGGAAAGGTCAAAGGGCACATCGCTTCTGCAAAATTATGGGTGTTCAAAAACAGGGACTGGAATGACAAACAACAGTCGTTCACGATTTCGGAGTTGGACCAGGGCACAAGTTACAATTACACAAAATTACGGCCAAAAAATATCGTGCAGCGAATTGAGACGGACGTGAAGAGCGGATGGTTACAGTTTAATATTACGACTACGATCAGAAAATGGCTGGATAAACCGCACTTAAATCATGGCTTCTCGATCAGATGCAAGACGTGCCATACCAAAAGTCATCGAGTTGTGTTCGGTTCGAAAGAGGGTTATCGTCCTTTGTTGATCATACATTTTGGTAATGAGAACAGGCGACGTGAAAGACGAAGTATCGATTGTACTCCCGGAGAAACGTTGTGTTGCAGGCAACAGTTTTATATTGACTTTGGGGCCATAGAAGATTTTCTACAAATCCTGCAACCCAAAGGACTCTGGGCCAATTATTGTACAGGCTCTTGTTATGGTAAGTGTAGTTCTGGGAGCCGCGGCGACTCAGTGAGTAAGGCGATGACCCGTTTACCAGGGTGTCCCGGGTTTGATCCCGTATTGATCGAGAAAATTCCTTCGGAGTTTTCAGACATGGTTTCCCTTGCGGGGCCGGGGGGTTGGATGGCCGAATGGTTAGCGCGCACGCGTTGTATCATAAGGTCTGTCATTGAGTCAACTGGCGTGGTTCCGATTCCCCGGTGTACGTGACAAGGAGTAGGGTCGCCTGTCCAACCTTTGGGTTTTCTCCGGGCCCTTCGGTTTCCTCCCTACGCACAAGCGAATTATTGAAATAAAATTGAACCATATGTTAGTCTCGAAATGACCTAGTTTGTGGACGTTCAACCCCATTTCTCTCTATCTCCCGTTCATTATTTACAAAAAATATAACCCTACCAGTACATGTAATTGAGTATTTGTCTGCAGACATTATAAACGTGAGACGGTTAAACATGTATCTCTCTCTCCCCCTCTCTCCCTCTCTCTCTCCCTCTCTCTCTCTCTTTCGAGTATTTTAGGGGCTGGTGTTCTTTTCGCGAATTCGAGACCCTTCCATTGGACCATCCCATGTTTTCTCCCCGGATACTACTTAGTAATTTTCACCTGGCATAAACAAAGGGTTTACCTTTGCCATTGATGCAAGAGGAAGGGTCTGGTAAGGAAAGGCGTCTAGTCTTTCGGATGAGACGAAAAAACAATGTGTACTCGTTGGCGTGCCCAGGACAGAAACCTTGACAGTTGAAATTAAATAAAGAACAGGCGGAAGAGCCACTGCCCGGGTAAAATGTTCCTCATAGCACAAATCGTGGCTTATGAATGTCTTCATTAACGGGGTTGGTGTAGCAAAAATAGGACTTTAAACCCAATTTCATTTCAGTTCCTTTTTTTCTTCCTTTTTCAGATGGAACGATGGCTCATTACAACCATACAACGTTAATGCAGACGTTGAGATTTCGATCAACCAGTGTCAATGATAGTTTTGCAGAAACTCTCATGCCCTGTTGTGCTCCGATCAGCTACGCAACAAAATCACTGTTAGTTATTGACGAGCACGGTGACATCAAATACAGTGAAGTCCCAAACATATCGGTTCATGCGTGCGGCTGTATTTAATTCAACAAAGGAATAAGCCGCTGATAGGCAATCTAATGGACGATTAAAAAGATTCTCCCGAAATTGCCTGTTACTAAAACAAGCAATATTCAAGAAACTTCAAGTAGGGCCTATTTTATATGCCTGCGCCGCTTTAATTTCACCATGTAAACACACTTTGTAGGCTATATTTATGCGTGCGACGCCACAAAAATAAGCTACAAATGTATGGCTAATATAAAAATACTCGTTCTGGTGTATCGACAATATTTGCAAACAGGGACAGATATCGTGGTACACAAATTAGCAAATTGTTTCAATCTGATTAAAACACAGAGCCTATTTCGTTTCGTTTTTTATACTTCAAAATTCTGTTTTACTTGTCTTTACTACACTAGCATCTGGAAGAGTTATTATATTACCGGCGTTTTGGTTGAAGTGAGGGATGAACCAATGAAATGGTCTGTTACGGCGACTTCTTGGCGTGCTATGCACGGAAGTGTGGGTAAACCACCAGGGCGACCTTTGGTTATCGTGATTTCTTGACTATGGTCGAACTAACTGAATCCGAATTTCATTTAGTTCGGACCATAGTCCGAAAATACTGAACCATGGTAAGATGGCGGGTGTCGATGAAACGTAAGTGTAGAATATTTAGAAAGAATCTATTTTTATTTAGTATATGATTTTAGGAAAGCTTGAAAGAATTTTAAATGGTTGCAACTTCTATGAGCAGATATTTTTTGTCTCGTATGTTATGTCTGAATCTATATAAGTCTAAAAAATACGCATTATTTCAATATTTATGTAGGCCTAATAAAAAATGTGAAGTCAAATTACAAGGAATTTGGCGTCTCAAGCAATTTTAATTTTATGAAAGTATTATTTGTTTATATAGCGATTCATTATCCTCCGTGGAGAGATTATAGACCTTCCTTGAGCTTAAGGTTTTTTAGGGTTATGATCGAGGTCTAAAGCAGAATAAATTGACATTACCATGTCCATGGGAGCAAACATCTTTTAACAGACGATTGTCCGGACCATTCGCGTTCGGTTTCTAGTTTCGACCACTAGTCATGAAAAAATTATAACCGAAGGTCGCCTAGAAACGTCAATGCTGACACGACCTTCTAGTAAAACTTGTCAGATCTTCATATTATGTAGGCCATATAAAAAACCGAAACGAAATATAGATCTGTATTTTAGTCAGATTGCAAATTGTTTTTGATATGCCTTCATTACAAAAGAAACGCCTCTTGGGATTAACACCAATATTATAAATAATCATCTATTTATTTTAAAATCTCCTATGCATTAGTAATATTCTTCATTTTTATTTATTATTCTTTACGATTCTCAAAATCAAATTAAAATGTAACTATCATTTTAAGAAAATTGTTTCGCATCGCTCCGCTCGGCTGACCGTTTATACATAATTGTCCCCAAGCTTCTAAGAAGTTTAATTCTGCTTTTATATACTACCTTTGATCGACCTTTTAAACCCAAGCAACACTTTTTAGTCTATTTTGGCGTGGGTTATAATCTCCGTAAAATCCTAAGAAAACGCCAAAAAATTCTAGAATGCAGGTTTCACCCAATCTGATTGAAATACAGATCTATATTTCGTTTCGTTTTTTATACTTTAGATGGCCAACACTAGTATAGTAAAGACAAGTAAAACAAAATTTTAAACTATAAAAAACGAAACGAAATAGGATCTGTGTTTTAAACAGAGTGGGTTTCACCCACACCCGTTTTTAAAATCATTGTATATGAGCGCCTGGCGAATATTATCGTTTTTCACTTGTATACTCTCATCATCTTTGTTTAATTTTGTGTATTATCTATATATAGCTGTTAATTAATTTGTCTTTATGCCAAATGTTAATCAATACGTAAAGAACCTTTCTCAATGCAATTTGTTATAAATATATTATTTTATTCTGTATTAACTTTATGTGCGGTATTAAATAATAAAAACATTTTTACCAAACGGAAAACTTTCTGTTTAAATTAACAAAGTCTGTCATTGAGTCAACTGGTGTGGTTTCGAATCCCCGGTTGTACGTGACAAGGAGTAGGGTCGCCTGTCCAACCTCGTGAGTTTTCTCCAGGTCCTCCAGTTTCCTCCCACTGCTAAAGACCGCTAACCATATGTTAGTCCCAAAATGACCTAGTTTGTGTCGAGTGGACGTTAAACCCCATTTCTCTTGTACATTCCTTGTTACATACAACTGGGGAATTGAAACCACCCCGTTGACTCATTGATAGACCTTATGATACAAAACGCACGCTCTAACCATTCCGTCATCCAACCTCTCCCCCACCCCGACTATCACCACATAGATTAGCATGGATGGGACCTACCCAGTGTGCCCATGCGTTAAAACGGACCTGTTGTCAAGACTTATCTGCCAAAAGTCAAACCGCATCGTGCTTTATAAGGGTGATTGGGGCCATATAGTAATTTTAATACACCCACGTTTTTGTGTGGGGCTATAATGTCGTTGCCTTGTCCGTCCGTCAGCATTTCGCTTGTGAAGGCGATAGAGGCTACAGTTTTAAAATTTGGACTAAGGCATCGTGATCATGAGAGAACGAAACCTAATGACCTTTCGTTCTGGAGTTACACACTCTTTTCTTAAAAGCTTGTGAACGTACTAGAGGCCACCGGGTTTGGGGGTTTTTTTTGTTCAAATTTGGTGTTAATATAGCATCAAACTATATCATTTTGCGGCGTTCTACGACTTTCCGTTGTGGAGTTATAAGCACCCGTTTCCGAAACGAGAGATACTACAGTTGTTACCACGCTTACCAAATTTTATAGTGTTAAACTTTGTGGTTATCCGGGGTATGGACCCCAGAACATGTAGGCCTACATACCAAATACGCCAGTAAGTGATGAAGAAGTGCATAGTTACGAATATACATAAATTTGGATTCGCGTCCACATGTTTTGGGGTAGCGGATTCCTTAAAATGGTATAAGGAACCACATAATCCCACCGGGCATATCTTCAAATGAAATAATGGCCCCAAAAATATTAATTTTGAGACTAAAATTCCTATTTTATGATAAAACATGCAGAGTTATGTCCCTTTATAAATTTGGATTTTGGGCAGCATGTTTCTCGGGTAATGAAATCCCCGAAAATGGTTCAAGAGAGAACCGGACACCCATGAAAACCATGCCAAATGAAAGTTTGGCCCCGACAACCTAATGCATGGCGTCAATTTCATGTGTTTCTCTTAATAATTGATGACTTTTTGTTTGTCTGAAGTTGTACCTTAAAGGGACAATAACACTCTTGCTGGCTTGACAGATCCAGAAAATAAAAAATAGCCTTATTCTAAGTACAAGATGTGTTAGTGTCCTACCTGTTGTGTAAATTATCCATTAAATCCTATTTTACTTGTCCAAAGGGTTCAAAAATGTTTTTAAATCCAAGTCACATTTTAAAAGCTTTACGTCAGGCTTTTCAAATCATTTATTTGAATTTTTCAATTTTTTAAATTAGGCGTGTTAAGATGAAATTTGTATCATCAATTAATTGAAATATTGTAAAATAGTACAATTTGTTGACCAGAATAAAGATTGGGGCATATTATTCAGTTACAACAAGAGTGGTTTTGAGCCTTTAAAGGAAAATGGTTCAAATCCCAAATTTTACCCTCAAAACTTGGGACTTTCAGGTACTCCAATTTTGGTAAACTTTTAGGACATCATTCAGTACACCCAAAGCTACCAAAATCATCAAAAAACCTTTTCTTGCATTTTTTGGGGGGTTGACCCCCATTGTTTCACTAATTGACTGGACTATTCATAATCCAGTTGATAAAGGCCTGCTGCTATTAAGCCTGAAACACGTCCTATTCCGTAGCAGTCTTGTTGATGTGTTCCTGGGGGATTACTTTTCTCCATATATTATATCAGATAAGTTAACATTTTAAATTTAGATATACACCAAAACACACATATTATATTAAATATGTTAACATTTTATTTAGATATAAAATTATAACAAAGTAGAGATGAATTATATCCATTAATAAATGTCGGTTAATTTAAAATTCTCAAAATCAATCAAACTTGTATTTTAATCAACAGACTGACCCTTCTCCATAAGCCACAGATGTTGAATTATTTCAATGGCTTTTAGTAATTGAACTTGGATAAACAGGTCACAGTTCTATAGAATACAATTACTGCTTATTACTGAGTGACGCTTCTCTAGTCATTATCAAGCAATGATAATGACTAGAGAAGCCTAGTGGAAACGTCACTCAGTAGTAAGCAGTAATTGTATTCTATAGAATTGTGGCCTGTTTATTCCAGTTTATCACAGATGTTGAAGCCAAAATGGCCTTTATTGGTTTTAATCAATGTCAATGGAAAAATACATAATTAATTTTGGTTAAATTATATTCTTGATATAAAATTACATTAAATCATGATAATTACATTAAAGGGACAATAACACTCTTGCTGGCTTGACAGCTCCAGAAAATAAAAAAATAGCCTTATTCTAAGTACAAGATGTTTAAGTGTCCTACCTGTTGTGTAAATAATCCATTACATCCTATTTTACTTGTCCAGAGGGTTCGAAAATATTTTAAAATCCAAGTCACATTTGAAAAGCTTTACGTCAGGCTTTTCAAATCATTTAATTGAATTTTTCCAATTTTTTTAATTAGGTGTGTTAAGATGAAATTTGTATCATCAATTAATTGGAATATTGTAAAATAGTACAATTTGTTGACCAGAATAAAGATTGGGACATATTATTCAGTTACAACGAGAGTGGTATTGAGCCTTTAATGCTATCTTGTTATTTATATTTTATTCATTTGAATGCCCACTGAGAAACCCATCCGTGCAAGCCTAATGCTAGGTTTCCACTGTCGTGCCATGCTTTACGATAGGATTGTCCCTATTGATTGTCCCTGGTATGTGAAGATATGTTTGGATACGTTTCGATACGATCCACACGATTACCACGAGTAACCTCAATATATGATAAGATCTGATTACTCCACGATTAAAACCACGATTTCAATCGTAGCGCGAATCGTGATAGTGGAAACCTAGCATTAGAAGTTGGTTAGGCATCCGAAAATGTAACACAACATTTTGCTGGTTGACCATTGTAATCTTTGTATGAGAAAAGTACCACTTATTTCACTTCTATCAAATCTGTATAAACACATCCATGTTTGATACTGTATAGCTAATAAAATTAGAAATCTATGAGTGGCGAGTCGCCATCCCTGATTTCTCTCATGAAGCGACTAGTTCCATTCAATTCGAACTCATCAGGCTTAAGTGAGATATAGTCGTCGGGGACCGGAGCACGAAATAGGTCTCAGATGGACCTATATCACCGGAGCAACTGCTTCCGTTTAATGGTGAACAGAGAGACGGCTAAAGAACTGCCTTTATAAAATGCTTATTTGCATAGACTCTAAGGCTCCCAACTCAACTAATGGCTATACAATTTCATAAGATTTAATCCCGAAGTGTCCCCACATTCTTCATATTTGCATATTACAATTCTGATTTACAGAGAGAGAGAGAGAAATGGGGTTTAACGTCCACTCGACACAAACAAGGTCATTTCGGGACTAACATATGGTTTAATTTTATTTACATAATTCGCTTGCGCGTAGGGGTCTTTAGCAGTGGGAGGAAACCGGAGGTCCCGGAGAAAACCCACGAGGTTGGACAGGCGACCCTACTCCTTGCCACGTACAAGCGGGGATTCGAAACCACGCCAGTCGACTCAATGACAGACTTTATGATACAGCGCGCGCACGCTAACCATTCAGCCATCCAACCCCCCCTGATTTACAGATTTTATTATAATATGTATATATTTTTCAATCTTCAATCATCTGATTTGATTTTATTTGAGCAGAGGTTTAAAAATAATCATCAGGAATTCCTTCATTTTGTAAACGTCAACCATTTTCTAGGGTTCTGCACCAATATTTTATCAATGTGTTGCTGAGTTATCCCCCTTCTTTTCATATGAGGTAGAACATTGATGAGAATATGTGAAAATCCATGACCACCATATTTCATCTGAAAAACATGACACACAGATTGCCAGATAAATGAAATCAAGAGAATTTTCTCTGAGTGTCATAAATGGCCAATAATCAATATAGCCCGGGGTGGATATATGACCATCGCGGACAGCATCAATGATAGTTATGTCCAGAGTCAAATAATGACAGGAATATCAGACGATATAACCAGGTGACAAGCCGCTGTGTACATACCTACACAAACAAAACACACACAGGAATTAACACGCTGTTATATCATTCCGATAAAATGACATGAAATGAAATTGGGTGGGATTACCTTCTCTAAAAGAACCAGTCTAGACAATGAAGACAGACATATGCCAAGCAACGTTGACTGCAATCTGATAAAAATACAGATCTATATTTCATTTCGTTTTTTTATTCTTTCAATGGCCTCTACTACATGAAGATCTGACCGGTGTAGTGGATAAGGTCGCTTCAGAGGTCATACGAGTGGCTTTTGAAACTATGACGTAAGGCATTGACGTTTCTAGTGGGTTACCTACAGTTCCTTGCATTCATATTTATTGTAAATTCAGTGACGCCTATCAAAAATGTAGCCCACCCCTGTACTACGGCCTGTACCATCCTATTTGTTGCCATGGAAACAGCAAATAGTATTATGGATATCACTCACCAATCTATGTTTAGTGTGAATATCATGAGCTATCAATATTTTATCTTCGAAAGCATTATCTATCAGACATCGAATAGCCTTGATTCGCTGAGCATCAGTTGGCATGTCGACTGTAGGACAGAGCTTATAGTCTGAGACCTCGATGCCAAAATGGTCATATTCACAGTACATCCCCTGACGAGCAAATTCTAACAATTTTGATTCATCTAAGAGTGTTCCTGAAGATACAACAGAGATTAATTTACGTCACTCACCAGTCGATGTTTAGTGTGAATATCATGAGCTATGAGTATTTTATTTTCAAAAGCATTATCTATCAGACATCGAATAGCTTTGATTCGTTGAGCATCGCTTGGCATGTCGACTGTAGGACAGAGCTGATAGTCCGACACTTCTATACCAAATAAATCGTATTCACAATACATCCCCTGATTAGCGAAATCTAATAATCTGGATTCATCTATTAAAGTCCCTAAAATAAATAACCAATTATTTCAAATCAGGTTCAAGATAAACAAAATCCCATGACCTTGTATAAAAAAAACTAAGTCACATTTGTTTCCATGGAAACACAAATAAATAGCAAAAGTCACAACTTCTATATTTATAGGTTGAGTGTGTACAAAGTTTCATAAACCAGCGGCTGCCAGGCAGGATACGCCAACATTTTACAAGAGATGATAGAGAACAAGCTAAAAACAAATGCAATTTTTTGTACGATCAGGGGCAATAATCCAGAAAGTTATAGTCTGAAATGTGCAAATATCAAAAGGGACAGAGATCTTTGGGATATAAAGATATGTTTTAAGTTTCATCAAAATCGGATAAAAATTGTGACCTCTAGAGGGTCCACAACCTTCGTATTACACACTTCTGCACAATTTGCGTACACAGAACGGCCATTTTGGCGGGCAGTTTCATTTCGATTTTCCAGAAATTTGAATTCAACCTTCATTATGGTGGAATGGTGATGTATTTAAATGGTTTTTAAAAATGGAAAAAAATTGTAACCTCTAGAGAATCCGCCAGCTAAAAATGCGATTTTTCGAACAATCAGGGGCCATAATCCAGGAAGTTAAGTTTGGGTGTCTGCGATTATCAAAAGGAACCAAGATCTTAGTGTGTAATGGTGATATATTCACACATAGGGACGGAGAGGGAGGGAGAGAGAGAGAGAGAAATGGGGTTTAACGTCCACTCGGCATAAACTAGGTTATTTCAGGACTAACATATGGTTCAATTTCATTTCAATAATTTATTTGCGTATAGGAATCTTTAGCAGTGGGAGAAAACCCACGAGGTTGGACAGACAACCCTACTCCCTCTTCTCCTTGTAGGACGTTAAGCTTCATTTCATTTCATTTGCTTTCTGCTAATAACAGTTATTCTTTAAATATGAGTTACTGAGTTCTTCTGCCTAACATTTCGTATTTCAACTTACTATCTAGATGTGACATAACAGAATGTTCCGCCTTGCCGCCAGCCTCGGTAAATATTCGTAGAATTTCAAAAGGCGCTTCCTGATTTCTACCTGGATGGAAGATGACTGGTGCTCCGTGATCTTGTTGTGAGATAGCCGCAGCACGAATTGATCTCTTTTCAAAATCTGAAAATAAGAAATAATTTTTTGTATTTTAAAGCCTTAAAGCGAGAATTTCAAATTTTCTAAGAAAGTCAAAACATAATTATTTCTATGTCTTTTGCTCAAAAGGTTATCAAATCATTATTATACGATCATGGGCATTATTTCCCACCCTTAAAAATCCAAGACACAGGAAATAACAAAACAATTACCTCCCCTGTTTTGCTATTGACAACATGGGGCAGCCATTTTCTAACGTTGGAATTTGAAGTTAAAAATGATATTTTTGCCAATTTCTCAGCTGGCAATAGCGAATTATAGGATTAATAGGATTATTCTTTAACAAGGTAGGACTGTTTATGGATACCATCTATTTTAAGGCTTTATTTTAATACATTTTAAAAATATAACTTGAAAATTTGCAATTGCAACTTTAACAAGCTGGAATAAAAACAATATCTAAAAGATCATACCGAATCAAAAACGCTTTCCTTAAAAAAAACATTTTGGTCCAGAATTATTCATATTGATCAATTCTAACTTACATTCTGCCTATTTAAAGCTTAAATTGATTTCACACACCACATTTCATTCACACCAGCCTATTCATCATGAAAGTGTTTTTGTATGTTGCTATGGTGGAACTAATTACATAGTATTAGTAACATAATATTTACGCAATCTAATTAAAATACATAGTATTAGTAACATAATTGACGTTTCTAGTGGTTTACCCAAAGTTTCATGCACCTCACACCAAAAACTCGCCGTAACAGACTGTTTGATTGGCTAATCTCTCACATCATCCAGAATGCGGGTTATATAACAACTCTTCCAGATCCTAGTGTAGTAAAGACAAGTAAAACGAAATTTTGAACTATAAAAAACGAAACGAAATATTCTCCAGTCATGACCTTCATTCTCTGAGTTCAGACGTCGAATGTCTTTGTACAAGTAAAACCCATTTTAACTCATGCGATCTGTTAGTAGGAGAATTTTACCCAGACAATGCCATATGCACCTACCCTTCATCAAACTCCAACTGTCAAGGTATATTTTACATGCACTCTAATATGTACCTTGGTGCACCTTCATTTTTTATTCCTTCCATAGGACTAGACAAGCTCTAGGACTACACAACTGATATGGGGAAACCAGGCTGGAAAATCTCAAGGAACTTTCTCAGCCAACACCAGAATCTTCTACCTGTAGTTAGTGGACCAATTTTTGTTACAGGTAAAATTTGTATTTATTTACCTGTTAATGGCCAGGTACAACCCACTTCACCAATTACACCACATTTGATACCTGTACCTTCCACACCTTGTGTTAAATCTTGCTGTATCCTACCACACAACTTCTCTATTGATAGTTGTTTTATTTCTTCACTTTGAAAACTATCAACATAAAACCCTTTAAAATAAAATTACACACCCAAAAATTAAAAATATATACAGATCTTAAAATTTCTGATTCATGATATGAGATCTTAAATCGAAATCAACATATAAATATCAGAAAAAAAGTTTCAAGATCATTAACTATCATTTCTTATATGGCGGGGTAGGGTGAGAGAGAGAGAGAAATGGGGTTTAACGTCCACTCGACACAAACTAGGTCACTTCGGGACCAACATATGGTTTTGTTTTATTTCAATAATTCGCTTGCGCATAGGGGTCTTTAGCAGTGGGAGGAAACCGGAGGACCCGGAGAAAACCCACGAGGTTGAACAGGCGACCCTACTCCTTGTCACGTACAACCGGGGATTCGAAACCACGCCAGTCGACTCAATAACAGACTTTGTGATACAGCGCGCGCAGTGTGGGGCTGAGTGGTCTAATGTGTGTCATTGTGTCAAGTGGTGTGGTTTTGATCTTAAGTTTTCACGTGACAAGGAGTAGGGTGTCCTGCCTAACCTTGTGGGTATTCTCTGGGTCCTTTGTTATTCGTCCAATACTAAAACCCCTATGTACAACAAGCAAATTAATGAAATAAAGATAAGCACACAAAACATGGAAATACGCCCGCACACCAGCTTTGTCTTAAAAAAAGATTGTGGCCTCTATCATGTTCACAAGCTTTTCGGAAAAAGTGGGCATAATTTCAGAAAGTAAGGGCATGGAACACTGAATACTGCAAGGTTCGTTCTCTCATGCCCCCAAACCTTCACACCAAATTCGCAAATTTGAGTAAAAATCTGTTAAAAACTATAGCCTGTATGACATTAACAATCTTTTTGTAAAGGGGTGTGGTTTGGGGTGGGGGCAAGGGGGATTCCATTTGTTATATGTAAATCTTTTACTGACCTGTAGAAGCAATAATTTTAACACCAGTCTCTTCAGAAGCACGTTTTAAAAATTCAACATCAGCATGTAAACCTATTGTTGAGTTCTCTACCATTGCATCACCTCCATTCTCCTATAAGATATACATTGGATATACAGAAATGTCATTCTTCATTTTTTTAATACTTTTTTTTTAATAAACAGAGAATTAATTAATTACCGAGTAATAATAATATGTACATTTATATAACGCTAGTACTCCATACTCACATCGCATACAATTAAATTAATTAATCCTCATAACGCTTCTAAAAAGAATGGGTTTTAAGTCTTCATTTAAAACATGAAAGGGTTGGAGATGATTTCTGGTAGATTGTTCCACTGTTTAGGCGCATTCACTGAGAATGATCTGTATCCGAATGATTTTAGCTTCCACCTTGGGCAACACAACTGATGAATTCAGTAGCTTACATATTTTTAGAAAAACAGATACACTTGGTCAGTAGACAATCGATCATCTAACATTAGACATGAAATGAAATGGGGTTTAATGTCCTACTGTTCTGCTCCCACTTGGCTAATGAAGACAGGCATACCCCATACAGTGTCCTATATGTTAAATTTGGGCAGCTACAGCCTACTCAAAATATCAAATTCCTACTGCCATGGGCTCTTTTACATGCACACCAATGTATACATGGAACATCAGTTTTTCATACCATTTGAAGGACTACACATTCTACCTTGCCAGGCCCTCTGTCCTGCACCACTGCCAGAAAATCCTGATGAACTTTTTTGACCAACAAAGGCCCTCCCGGTCAGTGAGCCGACGTCTTACTCACTGAGCCACCGTGCCTCCACCATCCAGTAATGGTATAAAACTTACTTTAAAATATTTGAGTTCTTGTATAACTGTTTGTTCTTCTGGTGTGTCTATCTGTAGATTAGGTTTATGACTATAACTGAAAAAACACATTTAATACATAAATGTTTCTCAATAAATGTAGTTCCACTCCTATATAGATATAACATGCTAATTGCCGAGTTATTAATTAAAAAGAGACCACCTATTCATCTTTAATTGCTGTATACTTTCTGTGATGAATGGGCTTGAAATATGCCAAAAATTCTTTTCAGTCAATGCCAAGATTGAATGGAATCTGAACATTCCAGTAGAGAGAATCCAGTGATTGTTTGCGTTTATGTTAGGCACTACTGCACAGTTAGTGCTACACTGTTTTTATACAGTTTTTGATTTAAGTGCAAATGTTTTAATACATTGGAGTCTGAGTGACTCAGTGAGTTAGGATTATCAAATGCAGTTTCTGCCTTGTCAGTGGTGCAGACTGGAGGGCCTTACAAGGAACAGTGTCTAATCAATTGGATGGGACAAAAAGCTGGCATGAACATAAAAAAACCCTTGATGATTGGACTTCAATGAAATGGTGCTGTCCTAACATAATTTGCCTTTTAGGACACTGTATGATATACACCCATTTTCATTATCCAGGATGAGACAGAAAAGTAGGACATTAAACACCATTTCATTTGTTTTACCTGATTTTGTTTAGAAATACAGGGGGTCACGGTGGCTAAGTAGGTAAGACACTGGCTTACTAGCCTGGAGGTCGGGTGTTCGATCCCTGCATTGGCCGAGAAAGTTCATCCAGAGTTTCCCGCGTGGTTCCCCCTTGTCAGCGATGCAGGACGGAGGGCCTGACAAGTACAGCTGTCTAGTCGTTTGGATGGGACGAAAAACCGAGGTCATGTGTACACATTGGCTGGCACGTAAATGATCACTTGACACTTTAAATTCGATATAAGAGTAGGCCATAGTGTCGCTGTCGGGGCAAAATTTCCCTCATAGCACACTATATGGCGTATACTCGTCTTCATTAGCCCAGTTTGGAGCAGAACAGTAAGACTTTAAAGCACATTTCATTTCATTTCATTTTAGTAATACAGTATTTAATTCAACATAAATAAAAAGTTCGACTTTCTTACGGGTTATGTTGGATCCACCCATAATTCTCCAGTGTGAAAGGCTTGTTGATGTTGTCTTTAAATCGAGGTTGACAAGGATCAACGAAGAAAGAACTGGCGTTGATTGACAGATGTTCGTGGGTTAAAGTCTGACCTAATTCTTCTGGTGAAATTAGACCAGTGACTGTAAAAGAAATAAAGTACATTACACAATAATGTCAATAATTCAATAAATGTTAGGTGAGATTCCAAAACAGTGAAACCGCTGGTTGACAATTGAATACATCACATTTTGTCTTCGAAATCACTCTAGGTGGAAGGGTTAGGGTTAAGGTTATGAAAACAGATCTTGTCTGCAATATCACTCTAGGCTAGGAGGCAGCGGTCATAAAGATTGGATAGAACAAACGGACGCCCAAAAAACAAATTCAAGAACAGTTTAATATGTGAATGAAATGTTCAAAAAGACTCCCAACATAGTAAAGAGATTATGTCAGCTACAATTATATACTTAATTGTAGCTGGGTGAAGAAATAATTGCTTAAATTACGATAATCAATCATTGTTTTAAAGAAAAAATATGATAGTTGTTTTGATCAATTAATGCCATTTTCAGATAAAATAATAAACCATAAACCTAATATCAAGGCATGGACAGTAAAGAGATGTGACAAGTTAGCCTATACCCATATGCCGACATCTGTGTATTAATGTGTGTAACCCCCCCCCCCCCCCCCAAAAAAAAAAAATCCTTGCAATGATAATATGTACATATAATTAAATACATGAATAAATTGTTATATGAGGTCACATTGTTATTCGGGCTTCGCGTGACCGTACATCTAAATTGGTAACTCTACCAACGCAATCAGTAAATGCTATCTCAGTATCTCTTTAATTACTTATTCAAGTTACTGTTGTGTAATCTAGAGTCGGAAAGAGTTCGAGGCCATTTTCAGTTGCCTAAAAGTCAATGTTTTACCTTAATTACTTAAATGAAATACATTAAAATTGAAATTACCTGTTTGAATTTTGCTGACACGATTGGAATCGGACATTTTGAAATGTTGTCAGTTTATAGAAATTAAATAATTCTGAAAAGAAACACACGGAGAAATACAAAATTTGTGTTTTTATCAACAGGCCACCATATTGTATTTAGAGTTAATTCCCTTGATTTTTGGTCTCGTCTGTCCAGTATTTTTGATAAACGGCAATTAAAATACAGGCCTGCTGTAAAAGACTACAAATAGAAAGTTTTGATTGGCAGGGGTAATAAACAGTAGTATAAACAGGTGGCAAAGAAGGAAATTCAAAAAGAATATAATTTGGTTTTATTTTACAATAAGAACAAAGTTGTAAGTAAAAAGTCAGTTTTCATGACTTTAGACTTTAAGAGCATTATTGCCATTCAGGAGATTTTAAGATCGATTCAAATCTGGGAGTATGATTTATAAAATGGATGGATTTATTTTTATTTGTTGTGTGATTTTGTTCATTCATTCAATCATTGTATTGTTGTTGTCTAGTAATTATAATGATGTATAGCCATTGGTAATTACCTCACGTACTTTCAATCAGTTCCAATAGGTTCTAATCAAAAAAGCATGCTGCCACCGGTTAGTAAGAAAATTGGGGTTCAAGAATGCTGTCTTGTCTAGTAATCTTTCCACACCATGGTCGCCATGGATCATATCAGAATATAAAAAAGTAACGTTTAATAACGCATTGGTGGATTAAGAAATTTAGCAGATCTATATATGTAGTGCAATTTAAAACAGCAAACATTTCTATATCGGCCAAAAACAGTCCCACCAAATTTCCAAATATATTTCCTGTCATATGGTTGCCCTATCGTCAGTGGTGTAGGACTAGGACGCAGGCCTGGGAAAGGACAATGACCAGTTGATCGGATGGGACGTAAAACCAAGGTTCCATTTACAAATTGGCGTGCATGTTAAATAACTCATGGAAATTGGAATTCGATATAAGGTCAAAATTTCCCTCATGGCATATGCCATCTCAAGCTTAGGCTGTCTGTCTACAGCTAGCTCCGCCCAAGAACAGGCCCTAAGCTAATTAACCAACATTTTAATTCCTACATCAACTATTTTAGTCGAAAACAATGAGTATGCTTTTAGAAATTTTTAAAAGGATTTATTTCTCTTTTATTGTCATATTGAATGAAATTAAATATGTTTATTTAGCCGCTGTGTGTATGAAAGATGTCAAACTAATCAAAGCCGAATCACAAAATAGTCCTCTAATTATTCAATATGGTGGCGCCCATGAAAGATAATTTCACAGAGGCAGTTTTGTTTGCGAAGACAAATTTAGGAGTATCTAACCTTGTTTTGAAAGATAAACAGATTGAAACTCTAAAGACAGTTTACAATGGCAAAGAATGTATTGCAATATAATATTACCCACTAACACATAATATATATCGCTTTTACCTGAGTGGCAGAAGTTGACATTTTGCCAATGAGATGTGTTTACATAAAACACGTGTTTGATCAAGTTATTTTTACTCTGTTGTGTGCAGTAGTCCAGTTGATAAGTCCCGCCCAAAAATGATCACGTGAGTGTTTTAAATGGAGGGCAACTAGGACAGTGATCATAATCTCGAAGTATGACATAGATGGATCGCTGCGTGCAGTTTGTGCATATGCCTATCTTCATTAGGCCAGTTAGAGCAGAACAGTAGGATGATAAACCCCATTTCATTTCATTTCTGATTAATTCTGTAATTCCAGTAGAACTCTATTAGGCTCTGTGTACCTGGTACCGTCTCATATACATATCTGTTCTGCAAACTTGGTACTGTATTTTATATAATCTGTGTACCTTCTATCTTAAATGAAATGAAATGTGGTTTTATGGACCTTATCTTAAAGATTATCACAGAAACAGAAACAATATTAATACTGCAATATATTTTTTATTAATTTACAGATCTGCAGCCATCTGATCTAGCACCAAAGAGTACTACAACAATATAGTAATTGTGTTACAAGTTTTAAAAGAATGATGATGTACTTAAGTTGTAATAAATTAACTGACCAGGCAGATCATGAAGAAATATTGAAAAAACAAATCGATGAGAAAAATATTGGTAATGACGTTATATATTGAAATGAAAATAATCATTTTTCCTACCGGTACCAGACTTTTTTTGTCAGCCCCCATCTGTTAGTCACAAAATGACCTAGTTTATGTTGAGTAGATGTCTTTCTCTCTCGTTCAGTATTTACAAAAAATATAACCCTACCAGTACATGTAATTGCGTATTTGTTTGCAGACGATATAAACATGAGACGGTCAAACATCTGTGCCACCTAGCTGTAATTTTCATAATATATTTAGGGGGTTGGCTGGTCGAATGGTTAGCACGTGCGTGCTGTGTCATAAGACCTGTCATTGAGTCAACTGGCGTGGTTTCGAATCCCCAGTTGTACGTGACAAGGAGTAGGGTCGCCTGTCCAGCCTCGTGGGTTTTCACCGGGTCCTCCGGTTTCCTCCCACTGCTAAAGACCCCACTGCTAAAGACCCCTACGCGCAAGGGAATTTATTGAAATAGAATTAAACCATATGTTAGTCCCGAAATGACCTAGTTTGTGTCGAGTGGACGTTAAACCCCATTTCTTTCTCTCTCTCTTTCATAATATATTTGATAGGCCTCTTTCCAAACCGATTGATTACATGCCGGGAGATTAACAACAGGCTGATATTTTTATTTTGTTAGATAATTAATTTTAGTACATTTTAGCGTGACTTTATTAAAGATATGTAATGTAAGATTAGATAAAGAGCTGACAGTTCTCAGTATATTAGTTAAAAACCAGATAATGTAAAGGGAATATGCTGAAAATTTCATTCAAATTGCTTCACTCTAAGCCGAGAAATACTCATTTTAATAACATTGTAGCCTCGATTGTCATAGTTACTGTTGTAACGATAATAAACAAAGTCTTGATTATCTATTTTTACGGTTGATCATCAATAAATGTTGGAAGCATCAGATAGCATCGAGAGTTGATTATGGTCTGGATAAGTTAATTAATGTCTAACTAATAATTTAGAAAACATTTCAGACCTAAAGAAAGATCTACAATAGGCAAATTTAGCTCTTGCATAAATGTATGTTTAATTATTGAATTTTATTTGACCTTTCAGATAATCTCTACCAGACAGTGTTAATACGAACATTGTCTGAGAACGTAGACAATTCGTTAACCAGACACCCGACTGTTGGTGAATATTTAATACGACTGTGTAGAGAATATAAATTATTAGCCAATGAAAGAATGACCGTTTTATCAACGACTGATTCGTTATTAGCTGTTCAACTCTGTCTGTCATCGATAGGAAAGGTGAGTTACTCGGTGCTGCCACCACAAGGATTGAGTTAAAGATGCATTATGTAAGATGATAGTTTAAACTAAAGAAAGATTAGGAAAAGCAAAAAGGGAATATATTGAAAATTTCAGTAAAATTACTTTATTCTAAACAAAGTTATGAATGTTTGTTGTTTTGTTAAGAATAGCATAGTCTCGATTTTCATTGCTACTAGTGTTGAGATAATAAACAAAGTCTCGATTATACTTTTTTAAATTAGATTATTAAATGGGGATCATGTTTCAATCCATTCAATAAATATCTAAATAATATTTTATATAATATTTAAGGACGAAAGAAAAGGCCTGCATTAGGCAGATTTAGCTCTTACATAATGCATCTTTAATGGAGCTATCTAAGATGAGTTTTAGTGAATAAATCTGATTATCCAGTGCCAAACGCAGTTAAGGGAGAAATATGGAAAAGGGGGCCATATCTATCCTGGTTTTGTATTTGGAGCATTTTAAATATTTATGAATTGAAAATTTATCACCATTTGGCATACACAAGATGTACGCTCGTATAGGATATAGTCAACATGCTGAAATCTGTGGCTCCGCCCCTTTTTAATCCGATTAAATATAATTCAGGAGATTATCTACAGTTGATATTTTGATATTATGTTCTTAATTAATTTTAAATAGTCAATTTGAATACCTTTTAGTGTGGATTAAGCCATTTTTATTAATTTAAAGGAGCTAAATCGCAAATATTCTTGACCTAGCAATTGGCACAAATGGGTCGCAACACATATAATAATGTAATATGAATTTATATAAACTGTTTTACATTCAATCGTGTCCATTTTACTATGAATTGTCAACAGTTATGTTCGGCGAAATACGCCAGAAGTCTCAACCGCAAGTCAGTTTCTAGCGTCTGGTTATTCCAGTCAACACCGATAATATTTATTGTGTATGCTCTCCAAATAAGAATATGATATCACCGTTTGACATGACTTGTGGAATATGTCTAGCCTCATTCTTTGAGCACCTTGTTACAAATGGCGCTGAAACGCATTATGGTACACGATTCGTGTACCAATGGTAAAATATTTATTTTGTCTTTAATATTAGATATCAGAAGCCCATCTTTTCCAGGTAAGATCACAACACCAATGCTGATTTAAATTGCAAAAAAAATCGTGTTTTCAATATCAAAGATTTTGGATGATATTGAGTTACGGACTTAGCTACTTTAAATAAAATGATTATTAGTTGTTTGATTTTTTTTTTTTTAGGTGAAAGACATCATAACAATTGATGAAATAACGAAAAATCATGACTTTATACAAAATTATAAAATGAAGTCTGATGCTGATTTGTCCGAACCAAATGAAGAGAGACGGAAAATGTTAGATTCATACAATGATTTACTGAAAACTACGAATCAATTAGATATCTACGATATTTATTCACGAATAAAACAAGAACTACGATCGACAGACGTGGAAGAAGAATCAGATTTATTGAAAGATCTCAAGAAAAGTAAAATATTGTGTTTTGGTGAACCAACGACAGAATTAGAGGTTTGATTTTATAATTGCTTTTGTCTTTTACTAATGTTGGCACAATATATATGTTGAATCAATGTATCGTGATTCACCTTCTCACCTTCCACCAACATCGGGATCAAACACAGGACCTCCAGGAGGGGTGGCTGGCCGAATGGTTAGCACGCGCGCACTGTATCATAAGGTCTATCATTGAGTCAACTGGCGTGGTTTCGAATCCCCGGTTGTACGTGACAAGGAGTAGGGTCGCCTGTCCAATCTCGTGGGTTTTCTCCGGGTCCTCCGGTTTCCTCCCACTGCTAAAGACCCCTACGTGCAAGTGAATTATTGAAATAAAATTGAACCATGTGTTAGTCCCGAAATGACCTTGTTTGTGTCGAGTGGACGTTAAACCCCATTTCTCTCTCTGTCTCGGGACCTCCAGTTTAATGAGCCAGTGTCTTGCTTACTGAACCACCACAGCTCCCAGATTGGATTAGAGATTTTCTTCAACCAGTTGAAGTTTGACTTTGATGGCTCAACACGTAAATGTTTATATGAAGCCTGATTTGATTTGTTAAAATATAAATCACTTGTCTGGGAGAGTGTATAGATATTTGATGTATAGGAGAGTGTACAGATATTTGATGTACATGTATGGAAGGAAGAGTGTACAGATATTTGATGTATAATAATGTATGGGAGAGTGTAGAGATATTTGATGTATGGGAGAGTGATATTTGATGTATAATGTTTGGAAAAGTGATATTTGATGTACATATATGAAAGAGTGTACAGATATTTGATGTATAATAAATCACTTGTCTTGTGTTTTACAGAAGTCCATGTTAAAACTGTTATGTATAGATGGGTTGTATGAAGTAGAGTATGACCTCACATCCTGTACAGTAAATCATCAGTCAAGGGAGATAACTTGGTTAGATAATCTGATCTATCAGGAATCATTATCACAAGACACAACACCATCTACAGTTCAGGTAAATATTGCATTTGTTATAAGCAGGTGTTAGCGTGGGAATGGATGGGGAAATGGTTTTACAAGATCTTAAGGTCTGTTATTGAGTCAGGTGTCCTGATTTTGATTCCACACAGGATCAATGCAAGGAGTAGGGTGGAAATTTCTATTGTGGTATGAGTGGCTTGATAATCGCTACAATCCCACATCGCTCTAACTTACACAAGTATGTAGGCAAAGGTATCCAGGCAACTGTGAGTAGCTTGGACTAAGCAAGGTTATCGGTAACCACATTCCATTGTTTAATAGTATGAGGGGCTTGATAATCACGACAATCTCACATCACTCTAGCTTATACAATATGTAGTCATAGGTATCCAGGCAATTGTGAGTAGCTTGGACTAAGCGAAATTATCAGTAACCACAAATGGAAATGGACAGTTTGTATATCTGCGAAAGAGTACCAGAAATCGGTAGAGGACGAGACGAAGGTTTCTAACATTTAACCTGCATTAACTAGATAAACTACAAAATATCTGAAAAATCTCCATTATCAAGGGAGGTTGGATGGCCGAATAGTTAGTGCGCGCTGTATCAGAAGCTAAGTCATTGAGTCAAGTGGTGTGGTTTTGATTCCTCGGTTGTACATGGCAAGGAGTAGGGGCGCCTGTCCAACATCGTGGGTTTTCTCCAGGTCCTCTGGTTTCCTCCTACTGCTAAAAGATCTCTATGCACAAACAAATTATTGAAATAAAATTGAACCATATGTTAGTCCCGAAATTACCTGATGTTGAGTGGATGTTAAACCCCATTTCTCTCTCTCTCACTCTCCATTATCAGTTTTTCTTGTAACTTTATTTAAAATTTCAGTTATATATACAAAGAGTGTTTCGATGTTATTTAGAGTTATTGCTGAATACACGTAGTGAGCTTGCATTAGCAACTATATTTAACGTCCCGGACAGAGAATTAGGGCATCATGCCTTCACAGCTTTAAAACATACATCACAGTCGAAAAGACTTCCAATGTATCAGGTAATTATTTGACAATTTATTGAGAAAATTATTCCAAAAATATATGTAGAAATAAATGAAATGGAGCTTAACGTCCTACTCTTCTGCTCCAACTGGGCTAATGAAGACGGACATACACCGTGCAGAATGCTATGAGGGCAATTTGGCCCAGACACTGGTACTACGGCCTACTCTTATATCGAATTCCAACTGCCAAGGTTTCTTTTACGTGCAAGCCAATGTTTACACATGACCTCAGTATTTTGTCCCATCCGAACAACTATACGTTGTCCCTTGCCAGGCCCCCTGGCCTGCATCACTGAGAAGAGAGAACCATGCTGGAAAATCTTGATGAGCTTTAATCAGGATCGAACACGGGACCTCCAGGAATGTAGAAATAAATTGTGCTTTGACGTCTTAATTTTCTACACTAAACAGGCACACTGTAATCTGGGTATTATTTAATCTTGTGTATTTAGTACTAATTTCTTCACATTCATTTAATATCAAATCTTTTGCTGTTTTTTTTTTTTTGTTTTATTGAAATTTTAAATCGAGACTTATTTTTTGTTTGATATTTTAGACAGCTGTATCACATATAATAAAACTACGACTGGGTGGTAAAGCGTATGCTCCAGCTCTAGATTGTGAGTTAGCTCCCTTTGTAAAAGGTCTAGGAGAGTTAATTACCTTTGTACAGAAGTTACAGTCTATAGTAGAAGAAGAAGCAGATATCAGGTATATGTTGTATATTATAAATAGACATTTACAGATGCATTCCCACGAAAATTTTTATATGGTAGTTATGTATGGTTTAATGGTCGAGAGCGAGACATTAAGTGGTATATTGATACTGCACGAGGCGTTAGCCGAGGGTTGTTTCAATATTCTACGCTATCCCACACGAGTCCAATATTTCATCTAGTATAGATAATGTACGATTGGCAAGTTGCCCGTACATTATTGGAAATAATGATACGCCAACATCAAAGGATGATGTCACATCTGTATTTTAATTCCAATGAAAGTATGACACATTTGGTATATATGGAAAGCATAGACACCCCTTCTTACTAGAAAAATATTGGATAACCTGAAAAACACACATGTGGCGCGCACAGGACAAACATTATGTAAGGGTGTCACTAACCGTTCACGAGTCTGACCTTCTATCTGTATAATATACATACACCATGCCCAGCCAGACAATATAATAAAAAAGAATAGGAATGCAATGCCTGTTGAAGCCTCGTTTTTCCCTGCTCTCTATTCAAATTTTGTAGAAATGTATATAGATGAGTTATATCTAATGTATTTATATTTTGTAGAACTGCATGTAGAAGAGTAATATCTAATATTAGAACATGTATTAAGAAATGTAAAACAAACAGATTAAAAGAGGAAGATGTACAGACCACAGCTGATTATTTACACACAAGACTAACACAAATAATAGAGGATAGAGAAAAAATAAACCTTGTTAGTCCCGACAAGGTAATTTATTTTTGCTTTCTTTTGAGCGGGTGGAGAAGGCCTCTTAATTTATTAGCCAGTACAGCACTGACTTCTCCCCCCAAAAAACACAGATCTACAAACAAGATCTAAAAATTCAAGGTATTACTTAAAGTAGCTAAGTCTCTAACTCAATATCATCAAAAATCTTCGACATTGAAAACACAAATTATTTGTCAGTTCAAATCAACATTGGTCTTGTCATCTTACAGGGAAAAGATGGGCTTCTGATATCCAATATTCAAGACAAAATAAACATTTTACCATTGGTACATGAATCGTGTACCATAATGCGTTTCAGCGCCATTTGGAACAAGGGACTCAAAGAACGAGGCTAGACATATTCCACAAGTCATGTCAAATGGTGACGCTATATTATTATCTGTAGAGATTGCGCAATAAATACCATCGGTTTAGAGTGGAATAACTAGACATTAAAGATTGTCATTCAATTCAGACTTCTGGCGTATTTCGCCGAACATAACTGATTAGAAATTACAGTAAAAACAGAAATGACTGAATGTAAATCAGTTTATATACATTCATATTACATTATCATATGCGTTGCGACCCATTTGTGTCAATTTCTAGGTCCCAAATATTAGCGATTTAGCTCCTTTAAAATCCAAGAAAATGAAATTTTTCCGAGACGGCTGCCCATAGACCTATTCTTTATTGCGATTTTAAACTGTTGGAATTGTGAACATGACATGCACGTAAAAGATCCCTGACCATTTGGGATTGTAAACATGACATGCACATAAAAGATCCCTCACCAGTTGGAATTGGAAGAAGATTAGCTGAAAATGCCACTGTCTGAGCAAATTTCTCCTCACGATGCACACATAACCATGGAATTTACCGTATATTAGTCTCAGAATGACAAGTAATGTTTTGACGAGACTTTAAACCCCATTCATTCTATTCCAGTATCACGTTATTCTTGGTTACTATGACAATGTTGTGGTGATTGTGTATCTATATTGTTGTTTGTAGCCTTTCAGATATGATGGATCGGTGAGTAGGACGTCGGCTCGGTAACCTGGAAGTCACTTGTTCGATCCATGTGTTGACTGAGAAAGTTCATCAGGACAGAGGGTCTGTCAAGGAACAACATATGGTCGTTCAGATGAGATGATAAAACACGTTTCTATGTACACATTGGCGGGCACGTCAAATATCCCTTGGCAGTTGGAATTCGAAATGAGTGTCTGGGAAAAATTTCACTTATAGCACACTGTATGGTGTATGCCCATCGTCATTAGCAGCTCATTAGCCCAGTTTGAATAAAGCAAGTTTCTATGGGCGCATTATTGGCGTCCATGTAAAAGGTCCCTTGACAGTTGGAATTCGATATATGTCTGGGCAAAATATCCCTCGTGGCGTATGCCCGTCTTCATTAGCCCAGTTGAAGCAGTAACAGTAGAACATTAAACCACATTTCATTTGATTTTGTAGCCTGCTAGTGATGGTGGATCGTTATTGGGGAGAAGAACTGTTCGTGTATTACGTCAGCTACTAGATTCTGAAGTAACCGGTAAGGGGGATAACTCTGAATGTTTTTTAGAAGATTTTGCTCTCAATCCTACAACACCAACGAGAATACAGTGTATTTTATCACAGTTCAGGTATGTTTGATATTATCACCGCTTACAAAATTAACCAAGGCATTATGTAAGAGCTAAATCTGCCTATTGCAGGTCTTTCTTTGGGCCTTAAATGTTATATAAATTATTAATTAAACATTTATTAACATGACAAGACCATAATCAACTCTCGATGCCATCGTATGTCTCAAATTTAAAGTAGACTAGAATCATTCGACCATTTAATGATTTAATTTAAAAATGGAGAACCGAGGCTAAGACTCAAATGACCAGGACGGTGGTTACGATCAATGCACACATCTTGTCAAAAATACAACCGTTGATAACTTCGCTCTAAATAATGTAATTTGAATGAAATTTTCAATATATTATTATTCATTTTGCATTATCGGTTATTGAAATATTATAGCGAGAACGGCCTGTTCTTTATCTAAATCTTACATAATGCCCCTTTTTTCAAGGCTTGGCTTCAACGGAGGGTTGGGTGATCTGATGGCTGCGCTTTAGTTAATATGTCTGTCATTTAGTCAATTTACATAAATAACCCAGGCTTCACTTCAAGACAGACTTCTCACACTGATAAAGACCCCCACTTGCAAGCGATTTATTGAAATAAAGTTCTACCATACGTTAGTCCCAAAATAAACTGGTTTGTATCGAGTGGATTATTAACATTGAGTTAATGAGATGTTACATGCCAAGAAATCCTTAACCAGGAGATCTGAATTTGAGATCTAGACATTAGCCAAAAAACTTTTACAGAATTTTCCAGTCTGGTTTACCCTTTTGTCCCGGGATGGGGGGGGTGGGGTGGCTAAATTATTGAAGTAAAATTGAACCATAATCTAGTCCCAAAATGACCTAGTTTCTCTCTCTCTCTCTCTCAATCTCTCTCCCTCTCTCTCAATCTCTCTCTCTCTCTCTCCCCCCACCCCCACCAATAGAATGTTCTGGAATCAAATCAAGATGCGACTCAGGTGACATTTTATTTCAACACAATTGGCTTAACCAAAAAATCAGCATTTTCCCAGTTGGTGCAAAAAAGCAGGATTTCTCATTTCCAAAGAATCTGTGTCTACAAGTCAGCTTATCACTATATAGTTTGTTGGGTTTGGTTTTTCTTGTAGATCGGGGGTGGGGGTGGATGGCCAAATGGTTAGCGCATGGGCGTTATATCATAGGCGTTATATCATAGGGTCTGTCATTGGTTCAACTGGTATAGTTTTGATTCCCAAGTTGTAAGTGACAAGGAGTAGGGTTGCCTGTCCAACCTTGTGGGTTTTCTCTGTGTCCTCCTGTCGAGTAGACATTAAACCCATTTCTCTCTCTCTGTTTTTAGATCACCCGAGGTTTGTCAGGATGAAGAAGTTGTCGTTGATGATCAGATGAAGATTAAAAAACGAGGATTACAGGATAGACATAATATTCAACACACCTACAACTCAATTCCTGTACCAAAAGATGTTCGAATTTCAAAAGAAGAGAAATTATTAAGAGAAAATTTAAATTCTGTAATTGTTATCCCAAGGTAAATATTACACTGCTATAGTTATCCCAAGATAAATATTACGCTATTATAGTTATCTCAAGGTAAATATTACACTACTATAGTTATCTCAAGGTAAATATTACACTACTATAGTTATCTCAAGGTAAATATTACACTTCTATAGTTATCTCAAGGTAAATATTACACTACTATAGTTATCTCAAGGTAAATATTACACTACTATAGTTATCTCAAGGTAAATATTACACTACTATAGTTATCTCAAGGTAAATATTACACTACTATAGTTATCTCAAGGTAAATATTACACTACTATAGTTATCTCAAGGTGAATATTACATTATTATAGTTATCTCAAGGTAAATATTACACTACTATAGTTATTGCAAATGTACCGAAGGATTTGCCTGTAAAATCTGAGAATACCTAATTTTTGTCACATTGATTATGTATATTGGATTCATAATTTAATATTTCATATTATTGTCACATGGTACTAATCTTTTAATCTATATTTCAGTAAAACAATCGTCCACGCTGCTCCAGGAAATCACGGTCTCCATCTTGGATTAAAACACTCTGACACAAATAAACGCGACTCGGCAGCCTTCGATAAAGAAAATATACAACTGGACGATCAGCCAAACAAACGTCAGAAGACAGATGTTGAAGCCAGTAAAATAAACGTAGAAGGGAAATCCAAGAAAGGAGAAAAGCCTTCCAAGAAAATTTCTTCCAAAAGTCAAGAGAGTAAAAAGACTAAACCCCAACCCAAATCTTGTCGTAGAAAATTACTTCCACAGGTCAAAGGTCAACAAAATATCACTTCATTTTTCAGGTTATAGACGAAACATGTTTTATTATTTGTAGGAAATTTTAAAAAATACATTTGATATACGATTGTTAATAATAAATGATATGTGGTTTAACCAGGGGCGGATCCAGAGGGGGGTTATGAGGAACCTGGCAAACCCCTTCCTGCAAAAATTCCTGGATCCGCCCCTGTTAACATCCTACTTTTCTCACTAACCTGGCTTATTCTGTTTATAATCATGGCAGGAGGTTGGATGGCCGAATGGCTAATGCGTGGGCATTGTATCATAAGGTCTATCTTTGAGTCATCTGGCCTAGTTTCGATTCACTGCTTGTACGGAACAAGGAGTAGTGTCGCCTGTCCAACCTGGTGGGTTTGCTCTGAATCCTCTGGTTTCTGCCCACTGCTAAAGACCCCTACGCACAAGCGAATTATTGAAATAAAATTGAACATATTTAAAGCCTATTTATAGCTACATGATTTAAACAACATAATTATAATTTATTTAACATAATTATGTAACTATGGTGATATCATAGTAGAGTTCAGGGAATGTTATAAACATCTGATAATATTCTGTTGAATATGAAATAACAGTTGTGTTAACTGAATGTTATTAACATCTGATAATAATATACTGAATATGAAATGAGAGAGAGAGAGAAATGGGGTTTAACGTCCACTCGACACAAACTAGGTCATTTCGGGACTAACATATGGTTTGATTTTATTTACATAATTCGCTTGCGCGTAGGGGTCTTTAGCAGTGGGAGGAAACCGGAGGACCCGGAGAAAACCCACGAGGTTGGACAGACGACCCTACTCCTTGCCACGTACAACCGGGGATTCGAAACCACGCCAGTCGACTCAATGACAGACTTTATGATACAGCGCGCGTACGCTAACCATTCAACCATCCATCCCCCCCTGAATATGAAATAACAATGTGGGGGGCGGGGTGGGGGTGGGGGAGTGATGGTTATAAACATCCGATAATACTATGCTAAATATGAAATAACATAGTGGTAGTGGGGGAATTGAATGTTATAAACATCTGATTATAATATGCTGAATATGAAATAACAATGTTGGGGGCGGGGGAAGTGAATGTTATAAACATCTGATAATAATCTGCTCAATAACTAATTTTATATTTTGGATATGTGCAATAACAAAAAAATAAATTAGTGTAATTTTAGAATTAATTATATTTATGTGTCATATATATTTTTTTATGTGAATGGTGTTTAATTAAATTATAATTATGTTTATGTGTTGTATATATAACGTTATTTTTATGGGAATGTTGTTTTATTAAATTTTATTAATTCAATAAATGTATTGATTTTTTAACTCCCAATAAGGGTAGATTTAATAACTCAACTATGCACTGGGCTGAGTGGTTATGAGGTTTGAAAGATTTAATAACTTAACTCTGCACTGGGCTGTGTGGTTCGAATCCTGTCCTGGGTCAAGAAGGACCTTTGGGATTTTTGAAGCCCCGTTTCTTACATGTGAGTCAGTGGGGTGGCTGAATGATCTATAAGGCGTGCACATTAGATCATAATGTCTGTCACTTAATGTACTTTACAAGAAGTAGGGTCACCTGTTCTCCACTTCCCTCCCGCTGCTAAAATTCCTAAGGGCAAGCAAATTATTGAAATAAAATTGAATCAAATGTTAGTCCCGAAATGAACTAGTTTGTGTTGAGTGGACGTTAAACAACATATCTCTCTCTCGCTCTCTGACTCACTCCCACGTGAGGAGTGACACCTAAAGGGCTAAAAACCAATTGTGTCTAGTCATTGTCATTCAGAAGGCAGGAAATAACAACCTAATAAACATAAAGATCCCTTGACAGTCGATATTACAAACAGGGAAGGCGATAACCATGCTGTCAAATTAAAGAAGCTAAGTCGCTAATATTTGGGAGCTAGAAATTGACACAAATGGGTCGCAACACATTGTAATATGAATGTATATAAATTGATTTACATTCAATCGTTTCTGTTTTTACTGTAATTTCTAATCAGTTAGGTTCCGCGAAATACGCCAGTATTCTCAATCGAATTTCAATCTCTAGCGTCTGGTTATTCATGTCTACCCGGATAGTATTTATTGGGCATGCTCTCCAGATAAGAATATAGCGTCACTGTTTGACATAACTTGTGGAATATGCCTAGCCTCGTTTTTCGAGTCCCTTATTACAAATAGCGCTGAAACGAATTATATATTGGATATCAGAAGGCTATCTTTTCCCATTAAGATCACAACATCAATGTTGATTTAAACCGACAAATAAATCGTGTTTTCAATGTCGAAGATTTTGGATGATATTGAGTTAGAGACTTAGCTACTTTAAAATTCTTCTCCTTGTACATGTTATAAAAATTACAGGATGTTTTAAAGGGATCAAAGCACCGATGAGATATTTTACTCCATACCTTTAGAGCTGGCATAAACCCCTATCTATTTTCATATGTGATAATAATTTGCAGGTTAGTGGGCTATTAAATGCAATATTTGTAGCTGTGATAATTCTTATTGACGGCTACAATTGATACACTATTCGAGGCCTTGAGCAAGTAAAATTCGGTTCAATTGCAAAATTTTCAACACACCTTACAGTTTGCATTGAAATAAGTGATGAGTGGAACACTGAAATCTTAACCTTATCTTACCGAACAGTTTTTCTGTATTTTCGAGTGACATGATTTCACGTGATTCTGGTTCGGCGTCCATAGTGTCTTATGAGGGACATTTTGCCCGGACTCTTTATTTCGAATTCCAATCGTCGGTAGTCGTTGGTGGCAATTTAACAGGAATTGGCAGTCGTCGGCTGTCTAATATTATATGGAAAAAATAATCATAAATGTTTGAAGATTATATGTGTGTGCAAATGCAAATTGTGTTTACATGTATTTTAAGAACAATCGGCGGTTAATTGAAAGGAATCGGCGATCTTATATATGGTAAATATAATCATAAAGGTTGGGCAAATGTGGCCTAATAGTCCCTATTCTGAATTGTGTTAACAATATCTTGTATTTTGAGAGCAATTGGCGGTCGTCGGCGGTCAATTTAAAGGAATCGGCGGTCGTCGTCGGTGAAAAGCCACACCCCTGTAACGTGCTGCCTGTCAATAGTCTACAAGCTACAATGGTTTGCGTCGTGCCTGAACGATCAGACGCTTTTTCTTGTCATGGGTTTCATTCTGGATCTTTATCAAAGGATAACTAGATTGAAACACCGGATCAAGGCGCGTGCTGACATGGCTGCAGGCAGGGCCCCCAAATTAGTTCTAAAAAAATAATTATCAATCATACTGACATGCAAATTGCATTTGTGTGAGTGTGACTGGCAATGACCAGAATACGCCCCCTTGATGCAAGGACCCCGGTGATATGTCAGGAAGTGGTCCCATGCAAGCTTAAGCTAGCTTAATCCCGTTAGGACTTCTTGGCTGGTATAGTGGACTAGTTTGAGATATAGCATAAAAGAAGCAATTTGTGGCCTTGGAAAAGAACCAGCGGCTGCCAGGCAAGATGCCCCCATATTTTGCAAGAGATGGATAGAAAACATACTAAAAACAAAACCGATTTTTTTTTGTTCAATCAGGGGCCATAATTCAGGAAGTTATGATCCGATATGTGCAAATATCGAAAGGAACCAAGATCGTTGGGATATAAACATGCATTCCAAGTTTCATCAAATCAGATGAAAGTTGTGACCTCTAGAGGGTCCACAACCTTGATATACCATATTTTACACTATTTGCGTACAAGGGGCGGCCATTTGGTCCGGCAGTTTTGGTCCGATTTTCACAAAATTTGGGTGTAACGGTGGTATATTCAAACGTTTTTGTAAATCGGATAAAAGTTGTGACCTCGCTAGAGGGACCACATGCTAAAAGCTCGATTTTTCGTACAATCAGGGGCGATAATTCAGGAGGCTTCGATGCGATATGCGCGAATATCGAAAGACAACAAGATATTTGGGTTATAAACATGCATTTCAAGTTTCATCAAAATCGGATCAAAATTGTGACCTCTCGAGTGTCCACAAGCTACAAACGTGATTTTTCGTATCAGGGGCCATAATCCATGAAGTTATCGTCCGATACATGCCAATATCTTTGGGAGATAGACCTATATTTCAAGTTTCGTCAAAATCGGATAAAAATTGTGACCTGTAGAGTATCCACAAACAAATTGTGGACAGACGGACGGACAGGGACGACGACAATATACGTCCACATGAAAATGTGGGCGTATAAAAATTGTGACCTGTAGAGTGTCCACAAACAAATTGTGGACGGACGGACGGACAGGGGCGACGACCATACGTCGACATGAAAATGTGGGCGTATAAAATAAGATTCTGCATATGTACAACATTAGTTTATTGATTGCTAGGTAACATGTCAACAATATAGAAAATATCAGATCATAACTCCATCAAATATAATATCAATAGTTATAATAGCTATCACAAAAAATCAACAATTAAAATGAGTTGCCTTAAATACAAATAATATGTGATTATTTCTTCTCCACTCCCTTTTCAGATGAAAGACTAAATTGCATGTCCATCAACAGGAGTCAAATTTGTACGCCATATAAGGGGCCGTTTTTATACTGAATTTGATAAATTAACTATGATTTTGATTAACAAAAGGCACGTATGATCAAATTGTCAATGCGTCAGTTTCATCTGAGAATTTCCGCAACAATGATGAGGGTGGAGCGGGCATGAATGCGCGCCCACATTTTGATCACATATGTTCCTGAATGTCTATTGTAATTTCAATAATGCCAGGTCCAGATTATAAAGGTTGCACTGGGACCTTGTCTATTATTCAAACACCCCTCCATCCAACTGATCACTAGCGATCTGGTGTCATTCTAGTTTAGCCATATTTTGTGAAAATATAATAATTATCATTGATAATGAGTTCATCCGTTCAACTTGGAAATTTGCAGTCCAAAGAAGAAACTTTTGCCGACTGTAGCATTAAACAGGATCTCCATATAAAGACTAGTCTATACCCCATACACACTCGGCATACCCCCTCTCCATCTAGGGTCTAGGTATGAAATTTAGTTTACACACAAACAATTTCTGTTAAATAAATTGGAGGTTCCCTAAATATTAGGGGCCCTTGGCTTCAGCCCGGTTAGCCACGGTCTCAGTCCACTATCGTAAAAGGCAGCCATCTTTTACTAAGTGAACTTCTCCTTTGCAAAATTTCCTGTTCAGTACTTTATATACCACCAAGACATTGAACAGGGCTTTAAGTGGGTCTGTGATTAACATTGCCTTGTTTTAAAATCGGTTTAACCGGTGCTGACTTGGCTGGATGACGTGTGTATTTCTTTCTAGGCCGAGAACGAACCAATTGATGACGATCATCGTCTGCCCAATGCACGTGATGCTCTCTACTTGATGCTCGCGACGATGGCAAAGAACCACCTTCGTGCTTATGGCCATCGTGAAAATCGTAGTTGGTTTTAGAGCATCGCGAGCAGGGCCCTGTGTTCGACCAATGTTGGTCACCATGGAAAAAGAATTCGTCTTCGTGATGCTGTTCTATTGTATGTTCTAAATCCATCCCGCACTCACTGCACGCGGGGTCCTTTAAGTCGTCATCGTAGTCGTCATCAGGATGATCTCGTAGCGAACGGAGTATTTGTTGAAATATATGAGACGGAGGCGACGCCATATTGACGCTTCCGACTGGTTGTTGAGATTTATAACGGTGTTTAGTATCAATATTGTAAAATCTGGCTTTAACAAGTTTATTTTTGCAACTTGTCTTTCACAGTACAATCAATTAAATCAATGAATAACAAATCTATGTTGTCGTAAATGTTCCGACCACCCGCTAATCCGAAAGTTTAAATATCCAGAACTGGCTCCAA